ACAAAACAGTTAAAGGTACGTTACAAGAAGTAAAACAAAAAGAAAATCTCTCATGACATTGCTTTGAGGCACTCGCAGATTTGCTTCACTCAGCAATGCTACCTGGCTGACTATATGATAAAGTCCATGAGCAGGGAAATTGGGGAGGGGTCATCTTGCCCCCTCACCTTTGCAGTCATAATTTGTGGGGCAGTGGAATGCTGCCTCACTTCATAAGGTCAAGACCTTTGGGGACAAGGCAAACTACTACTGCTTCCTGCTAACAGAGAACAGAGGAGAAAGCTTTATTAAAGATAATTGGTCATGATCACAAGTCATAAGTCACCCTGTGACTGGAGTCAACTGACTGGAGTGACCCAGCAGCTTGGTTAGGGCTAAATAAACATGTTTGACTTTGACCTGGGGGTGAGTTGGCTGGACAATGTAGAAAATGTCACATTGAGGAGAGTTTCTAGTGAGAATCGTGACCTGAATATTACTGCCTAATTTAAGGACTCATTTTACCGACTACCTGGTTTCACTTCTTCTTTGCCATTCTAATAAATATTTGACACAATTGGTCACTTATATTTTATTCTAAATGTATGACTTGATTGTATGTATTGAGGAACTATGCAGCTGCAATGGCCACATGGTTGCTTTTCCACATGCAGGTCATTATATATGTTCCTCTAATTATCATTATATGAAACATTTGTAATGTCAGTGAATAAGTCATACTTGAAACAGCCCTTGTTTCTGACAAATCAGGCATGGAAAGGTTTTTCGTATGAGGAAATTCTTTATGCATAAACTGTGAGCTATATGGTTGCAAATTGTTTTTGCAATAAAGCATGTCTCTGAAAAGAAAGTACTTTTCTTACTTTTCCCACCATCAGAACTTCTTTGACAATACAAGCAAGTATCTGAACTTAGCCTAGCTGAAATACTGCTGTTTTCTTTAACTGCATTCCCCTGCCTAGTTTCCTGAAATGGCCATGTGAAATGTCTGTTTATTATAAATGGATACACATTAGTATTATGTACAGAGCTTAATTTAAACCATTTGACTCAGAACTGTCTGAGAAGCAGAGCCAAACTCCACAAAAAGACACTCGTCCACAGCTTCCACTCACAGTGACAGTTGTGTAGGAGTTGTTGGAGAGACTAATGAGAAGTCAGTCGGTCTACTGACTCGACCAGGGTTGACTGACATCATTTCGTGCGTCCTGCCCTGGCGATATGGCCTGTTAGTGATAGCAGTGTCTAATCTCAAAATGGTGAACAGAACATGTCCACTTTTCTGACAGCGCATTAATATCTGCCTGCTCTTTAATCAGGCCGCAATGTCTGACGATTATTTTAAGAGCTGCCAAATCTGCTGGGCCACACCCCTACGAAGGAACCAAAATGAAAGACACACCATTCGACATCAGAGAGAGGGAAAATGAGTTCATTATAGTAATTAGGCCTTTCCTTCTCACCAATCTCCCCAGTTCCTCCACTGTTCACCAGTCCTTGTGTCTTAAACACCCATAATGGTGATGCATTACTTCAGTAATAAAGGGCTGTTAGAACAGAAGACCGCCCACCCTCCATCTGCTGCCTCCCCTGTACACACACACACACAAAGAAAAGGACAGAAAACTGCCTCCTCCAGGTCACACAGAAGATAGATTATGCTGACCAAGTAGCTTGTGGCACTCTTCATTGGCACAGAGAGTTGGGGTTTGACGTCGCACAACTGTTCATTAATCACTGTCTTGGGGAAAGAAGAAATGAAAGAGAAACACAGACCAGCATGTTCACTGGTTTATTCTGTCCTGTCCGCAAAATGAAATAACGGCCAGTTCACCCTTTACTGACCTCAAGTAAGCACTCAGAGAGGGACTGGTCAGAGGCAACATAAACACGTTTGTCTCCCAGTTTTTGTTTTTGCTTTATATTCACTACCAGTGAGGAAAACCAAAACTGGGATGCAATAATCCACTGTCAAGAAAGTAAAGAAATATGCTATTACTAGCATTTTTCAGTGTTTTGAATTATCTGTTTTTATTTTATTTTATGTACAATGTCCTTGAGTGACCTGAAAGGTGCTATTTAAATAAAATGTATTATTATTATTATTATTATTAAAGTGTCACCACTTATGAAGCTGTGCTTAAAGCCAGCACTTGTTGGTGCTGTCACTTGTTCTATTTTGGAGTCTGAAATGACAGTGATCAGTGATCACTTGACACGTGGATTGTTGTTGGCACAGATGTTCCTTGTCAAGACTGGAAAAACTAGGCTTGTTGACAGCTGAATATCAAAAACCAATAGTATTTTAAGGCATTTACAAACTATACCTCAATACTAATGATTTTAGAGTAGTTTCTAGCTGCACACTAACAAGTATATTTTAATAACTTGAGACACCAGACTGCATTTCAACCATGTAATACCGTCAATGTTAATAGAAGTAACACCTGCAACTATTCACAGTCAACCTGTCATTAAAGGGTTCTACCTCATTAAGTTAAAAGGTCTTTAATTAAAGTTTGTCATTTTGTTACTGCCGAATATCAGGACAAAACAAGAAAAACAGAGCATGTGGTTGTGAAAATCTAGTTTGGTTTTTTGCTTCCTTTTTATGAAACTAAAAAAGGAAAAGTGCCTTGCCACATGACATTGCAGTCACCTTCTTGCTCTGGAAAGAAGCTGTGTTTATTAACCATTCAGTCTGTAATGAAAGGAGAGATTAAACGGCTTAGTTGCAGACACAACCCAGCATAAAGTATCATTATCAGCTCAAGCCTACACATTTAGGTCATGAATACATTAACCTGCATTTGGCCCTGACGAAGGTGCACACTTTGATTACTCTGCTTCTGGTTTGTCCCGAGAGCATTCTGTCTCATCTGAAGCTGATCTTAATGTGGCCCACATATTTTTCCAAAAATAGTTTACCCTCCTCCATCACCACAAATGACAGAGAATGTAAACAGTTTTTGAAACAGAGGCTATCATGTTATAGCCCAATGAAGAGTCAAAGCCAAAATAAAGACTGAAATATAGGACCCAATTTTATTTTCCATATCTTCTGGGAAATTTGCAAGAAATAACTTTAACTACTAATGCAAAAAGCCCAGTTCTCAGGGGGGAGTTTACTTGGTAACTCAAAAGAATTTTACATGCTTGCAGCACTAAGGGAAATGAAGCTAACAGACCAACCCCTCAAGAAAAAGAAAAGGCATTTAAGTCAATACAGAAAAACCGGAGTGTCTTTTGTTGGTTCGAAACAGTGTGGTGTATGCTTTCATGCACATTTGGGAGGTGAATCTTCTGTTACACTACCTCACCCAGTCCCCCCCATGATGACATTAAATCTTAAATGACGTAACGGGGTTGATTGTAGAGTTCATTTGTTCACTGTACAGACTTTGTTACCTGTGTTCTTCTGTTTATGTAACATATTGAAAAAAAACTTTCCTGAGAAAAACATGAGAATATAAAAACAAGCTGCCCACAATTCTTTCAAAATGTTTGTGTACAGGACTGCCTTAAGGGCAAGATTTGTGTGTACACAAGCAAACGTTTACAAGGACAGGGTCGAGTGTTCTCTCTGTTATAATGTGTTCAGCGGAATGAACAAAAGTGCTGACGTCAGACCTGTTTTGTTCCAGTGACAAAAAAAGAGAACAAGGACAAAAAAGTGAAATTGGTCTCTCCTCCAAATATAACCCCCTAACCCTTTTTAAGTGTGGGAGCTTCTGTTGAAATGTCTAGGCTAAGGTGATCTACTAGCATTAAAATCATTTAATTTACATTTACTCATATATAGTATATATATATATAAAAATTTCAATTGCTCATGATCTACCAGCTCTCCCTTTGGGATCTACCCAGATAGATACCAATCTACTTATTGTGCACCCCTGCTGTAGTGCAATATAACTAAACACTTTATTGATATTTTCTATTTTTGGATATCAACTTTTATATCTCACAAGTCTCATCAGTCAAGTGTTAATTTCCTATTAAAACTGCATCAGATAAGAAGACGGAACAGAGTTATTGCTGCATACTCAGCACCATCCCAACTGTGTAATTTTCAGGCTTGGTGATGCTGGGAGGGCTTGGATGAGATCTTGGTACATGTGAACACTTAGCTGAACATCTGCCTCTTGTTGCTGTAATTTGCTTCAGCACCATCTGTTTGGCATTGGCTGGAAGCACTAACAAATTTATACGTCTATCTTGTTATAAACCCATAATTTCACCAACACCTCTTGAATACACCAGTAAACTGCATGCAGTGATATGCTCTGCATTGTTCCAGAAATAATACAGTTACCCATACCACATGGTGGTTGTTTATTACAAAATTACCATTCCATTCAACAATCGTATAATTTGAGTTGCTAAAAACTAAGTATGATGTGTTTTATAGTCATTTTATGGATAATTATGTTACATATTATTATAACTAGCATTTCCTTATGTTTTGAATAAAAATCAATGCAGTGTTGTAACTTACTTAGTGTGTGTTAACATTAGTTTGTTTTTTCCTTTTCTTTCTTTACAGAAGACCCAGGCTTTACAGCTGTCATTCTTCATTGGCGACATGCTGTGAGGAAGGATTCCATTCAAGTGTGCCTGAGCTCTACATGTCCTTGACATCCAAATGCTGCATGTCTACCGTGGTGCCAGACGCCCTCTGTGAGTTATGATGAAGGCTGCTTTTTTGACTCAGGAAAGAGGCTCTCCCTCGACTCACCAGTGAGCAAACTATATGATGTAATGACGCATCCTAAAAGTCTGCTCTTCGAAGAGTCTGCCAACAGGATATGAGTATTTTGAACCCTGTGACGGATAAAAAAACAAACCTTGTGGGAATTGTGGGAGGCCCAGAAGAATACCCCAGAGCAATGCAATCAG